CACATGGAACATTTTCCAGGATTGATCATGTACTGGGCACAAAAGAAACCTCAGCAATTTTAAGATAGAAATTATCTCAAGCATCTTTACTGACCACAATGCCATGAAACTAGAAATCAAAAACAGAGAAACAAAGGAGAACAAAAGGAAGGCATGGAGATAAACAATATGTTATTGAAAAACCAATGGGTCAATGAGGAAATCAAAGCTGAAATTGAAAAAAAAAAAATCTTGAGACAAATGAAAGTGAAAGCAAAACCACACAAAACTAATGGGACACAGCAAAGGCAGTGCTAAGAGGGAAGCTTATAGTGATACAGGCCTTCCTCAAAAAAAGAAGAACAATCTCAAATAAACAATTTAATCCACCAGCTGAATGAACTAGAAAAAGAAGAACAAAAAGCCCCAAAAGGCAGCAGAAGGAAGGAAATTATAAAGATTAGGGAAGAAATAAATAAAATACAGATTAAGAAGACCATAGAAAAAGTCAATCAAACCAAAAGCTGGTTTTTTAAAAAAAAATAAATTGACAAACCTCTGGGCAAACTCACAAAGAAGAAAAAAGTTAGAGCACAAATTAGCAAAATAAGAAAGGAAAATGGAGAAATTACAACAAATAAAATAGAAATACAGAATATCATATGAGACTATTATGAAAAGCTATATGGAACCAAACTGGATAACCTAAAGGAGATGGACAAGTTTCTGGAAACATACTGTCCACCAAGACTGAATCAAGAAGAAACTGACTACTTGAACAAACTGATCAGTAGAAATGAAATCAAAATAGCAATAAAAAACATCCCTACAAATAAAAGTTCAGGACCGGATGGCTTCACAGGGAAATTCAACCAAACATACAAAGAAGAACTCATACCAGTCCTTCTCAAACTCTTCTAGAAGATTCAAAAGGAGGGAATACTCCCAAACTCATTCTATGAGGCTACCACCCCCCGATACCAAAACCAGGCAAAGACATTGCCAAAAAAGAGAACTGTAGGCCAATATCACTGATGAACATAGACACCAAAATCCTCACCAAAATATTAGCAAATAGAATCCAACAACACATAAAAAAGACTATACATCATGACCAAGTGGGGTTCATCCCAGGGACACAAGGCTGGTTCAACATATGCAAATCAATCAATGTAACACATCACATCAACAAGAGAAAGAACAAAAACCACATGATCATCTCAATAGATGCAGAAAAAGCATTTGATAAAATTCAATACCCATTAAAGATAAAAACTCCCAACAAAATGGGTATAGAGGGAATATATCTAACATCATAAAAGCTATACATAACAAACCTACAGCCAGCATAGTACTCAATGGTGAAAAACTAAAAGCTTCCCACAAAACCTGGGACAAGACAAGGCTGCCCACTATCACCACTCCTATTAAACGTAGTCTTGGAAATACTAGCCACAGCAATCAGACAAGAGAGAGAAATAAATGGGGTCCAAATTGGAAAAGAAGAGGTAAAAGTGTCACTATATGCCGACGACATGTTACTATATATAGAAAACCCTAAAAGGTCCACAAAAAAAATACAAGAGCTACTCGAAGAATACAGCAAGGTAGCAAGTTATAAGATTAACATTCAAAAATCGGTTGCATTTCTTTACACTAATGATGAAATAACAGAAAAAGAAATTAAAGAAAGAATCCCATTTAAAATAGCACCCAAAGTAATAAAATACCTAGGAATAAACCTAACCAAGGAGGTGAAAGAATTATACATAGAAAACTATAAACCATTGATAAAGGAAATTAAAGAAGGCTTCAAAAAAATGGAAAGATATCCCATGCTCTTGGATTGGAAGAATCAATATTGTTAAAATGGTCACGCTGCCCAGGGCAATCTACAGATTTAATTCAATCCCTATCAAATTACTCAGGACATAGTTCACAGAACTATGACAAATCATAATAAAATTTATATGGAACCATCAAAGACCTAGAATTGCCAAAGCATTACTGAAGAGAAAGAAAGAGGCTGGAGGAATAACTCTCCCAGACTTCAGACAATGATTTAGAGCTTCAGTCATCAAGACAGCATGGTTTTGGTACAAAAATAGGCATATGGACCAATGGAACAGAATGGAGAGCCCAGAAATGAACCCACAAACTTTGGGTCATCTAATATTCGACAAAGGAGACAAGAATATACAATGGAATCAAGACAGTCTCTTCAGCAAATGGTGTTGGGAAAACTGGACAGCAGCATGGAAAACAATGAAGCTGGAACACTCCCTTACATCTTACACAAAAATCAACACAAAATGGATCAAAGACTTCAACATAAGAGAAGATACAATAAACCTCCTAGAGGAAAATATAGGTAAAACAATATCTGACATACATCTCAAAATTTTTCTCCCAGAATAAATAAAAGCAATAAACAAATGGGACCTAATGAATCTTACAAGGTTCTACACAGCAAAGGAAACCATAAGTAAAACAGAACGACAATCTATGGAATGGGAAAAAATATTTGTAAATGAAACCAACAAAGGCTTGACCTCCAGAATATATAAGCATCTCACATGACTCAATAAGAAAAAAATGAACAACCCAATCCAAATTGGGCAGAAGACATAAACAAGCAATTCTCCAAGGGCGATATACAAATGATCAATAGACACATGAAAAAATGCTCAATATCACTAATTATCAGAGAATGGAGATCCCTCAAAAGACTAGGAATTTACTTACCATATGACCCAGGAATCCTGCTCCTGGGCATATATCCAGAAGGAACCCTACTTCAGGATGACACCTGCACCCCAATGTTCATAGCAGCATTATTCACAGTAGCCCAGACTTGGAAGCAGCCTAAATGTCCATCAATAGATGACTGGATAAAGAAGAGGTGGTATATTTATACAATGGAATACTACTCAACCATAAAAACTGAGAACATAACACCATTTTCAGCAACATGGATGCTCCTGGAGAATGTCATTCTAAGTGAAGTAAGTCAGAATACAAACTTGTGGTTGCCAAGGGGGTGGGGTGTGGGATGAGATAGACAGGGATTTCAAAATTGTACAATAGATAAACAAGATTATATTGCATAGCACAGGGAATTATATACAATATCTTATGGTAGCTCACAGAGAAAAAAATGTGACAATGAATATATATATATATATTTATATATGTATATGTTCATGTATAACTGAAAAATTATGCTCTACACTGGAATTTGACACAGCATTGTAAAATGATTTTAAATCAATAAAAAAAGTTAAAAATATCTTTATTCTGTCAATAGAAAAGAATAAATGACAAATTCATATGATCTCACTAGGCACAATAAAAAGAAGCCTTTATGTAGTCCAACAGTCTTTATGATAAAACACTTAAAGTAGTAATAAACAAAAACTACTTCATCCTGATGAAGGCCATCCTTTAAAAACAATAGCTATCATCATACTTAATGGTGCAAGACAGAATCTTTCCCTCTATCATAATTATAATTATAATACATATCCTAGCTAGGAAAAAATTAGGCAACAAAAATAAATAAATACAATCCAAATGGAAATGAATAAGTAAAATAGAATATATTTGCACCTGACATAACCTTGTGTGGAAAATCCTAAGGAATCCACTAAAAAATAAAAAAAAATAGATTTAATAAATTACTTCAGCAAGGTTACAGGATATACCATCAAAATAAAAAAAAGTAATTCTATTTGTACACACTAGCAATAAACAAACTGAAAACTAAATTAAGCAAAACAATTTCATATATAATGCCATCAAATATATACAATATTTAGAAACAAATGTAGCCAAAAATTGAAAGATATGTATACTTAACACTACAAAACATTATTGAAGGAAATTAGGCCATAGCTAATTAAATGTTAATAAGTCTATTAATTGGCTGATTATATTAATTCATAAAGAATGAAACTGTTTCCCTTCTGTTACCAAGTTCAAGCTCATACTGCTTGCTGTACCACAGGCCAACAAATTGAGGAATGAATTGTTGGGGCAAGGAATGGTTTATCAGAAAAGCCAACAGATCCAAAGAAGGTGGTGGACTAGTGTGCCAAAGAACAATCTTTCCTGGGTTTGGCTGCTAGATTCTTTTATAGAACAAAATGGAGGAGGTGTATGGGTAAAGTTAAAAAGGCAATATGTTGTTGCAAATATTTCTTGGTTCTGCCCAGACTCCTCAGTGGTGATATGTTAATTTATTCTTTCCAGCAGCAATTCACAGGTGGGCCTGGTAAGGATGTTTCCTGTATGGTAAACAAAGGTATTTTAGCTTAACACTCAAGCATGGGAGGGAGCATTCCTGAAGATGGACCATTATGTATACTTTAAGCTATAGGCAACATCTTTTAGTGATTAATTTGTAACAAAAGAATACAAAGGTTAAATAAAAGGAATAGATCAATTATGGGGTCAGACTTTTTCTTCTCTATTACACTTCTTCAAACCATATAAAAAATTAATCAAAATAATCAAAGATGCAAGTGTTAGAAGTAGAATTATAACGTTCTTAGAAAGAAATTGGAAGTAATATTGAGATGGCAGTACTCCCCAGGTTGATCTACACAATCCCTATCAAGGTCACAGCTGTTTTGTTTGTTTGTTTGTTTTGTTTGCAGGAATTGAAAAGATATATCCTAACGTTAAGATAGAAATGCATGTGGCCCAGGATAGCAAAAACAATTTTGAAAATAAAAGGAAAAATATTGGAAGGTTTACCTTTCCTGCTTAAAACTTGTTCAAAGCTACAATAACCAAGACACTGGAAGCATGCCAAGATGATTTAATAGGGAAATGATACTGCTAGGACAACAAGATATCCATATGCAAAGTAATAAAATTGTTGCCCTTCTTTAAACTATACTCAGAATATTAACTGAAAATGATCACAGACATAAATGTTAGGGGTGGAATTATAAAGCTCTTAAAAGGAAAATTGGAAGTGAATAGATATGACTTTGGTTCAGACAAAGTCTTTGTAAAAATAACCCCAAAAGTACCAGCAACGAAAGATAAAATAGACTAAATTTTACTTCATCAAAATGTTCAATTTTATTCCTCAAAGGATACCATCAAGAAAGTTGAAAGACAAGCCAGAGTATAACAGATGTTTGTAAATATCTGATAATAAACTTGTTTTTAGAATATATAAATAATCCATGCTACTCAATAATAAAACAAAAATAAACATACATGGGCAATGACATTTCTCCAAAGACACACAGATGGCCCATAAGCCCATGAAAACATTCTCAACATTATTATTCATCAGGGAAAAGAAAATCAAAACCACAGTGGAATATCTCATTATATCCACTCTTATGGCTATATGTTTTTCAATTTAAATGAAAAATAAGTATTAAAATGAAAGTAGAATAATTGGAACCTTCACATACTGTTGGTAGTAATGTGAAATTGTGCAGCCACCTTTAAAACTGTTTGGGAGTTTCTTAAACAGTTTAAACAGAACTGACATATAACCCAGCAATATTAATCTTAGATATGTACTCAGGAGAAAAGAAAACATATGTTTACACAAAAACTTATACTCTATGCTTAGAGCAGCATTGTTCATGATAGACAAAAAGTGGAAACTACCCAAGTTGAACAATTGTAGCAGCAAGTGGAATTCATTGACCTTAGGTTTCCCTAAATATTAGTGAACCCTAGCAATTAAGTGAAACTCTGAAAATAGAGATCCTCAGTGAGCTAAACTTTTTGCTTCATATGATGGAGTGGGAGATAACATTTTCACCAAAGAGAACTACCATTCGTGTGTAATCATGTTGCTACTGAGGTCAGTCTTGTTGCATTATTGATTATACCATTTCTTATTTGACTAGTGAGGCTTGTTGAATGTTATTCATTGTATTAGTCATTGAGTCCAAGATGACACCATGAAATGAGTATTTTAGACCAGAGAGTCAAATGACTTTCTTGTATCAGACATTTAATTTCAATACAATTCCAGTAAAAAGCCAAGAGATGCTTTTAAAAAGTGGTATACCTGGTAGCCGTCCATAACTGAACCTGTCAGGTAGGCGACACATCCATAACCCCAAAGAATGATTTTTGTAGGATATTGTCTCCATTTGCCATCAAAACACCAACAATAAAAACTAAAAATTATCATGACTATAGTGGAGTCTCAGATGTACAAGCATTTCTGTATATGTAGTCTTTCTCAATTAGAATTCCCTCTGACACTAATTGAGTGGAGAAGAAAGAGAGCATAACATGAGAATAAGCATATAACACATCAATTATTACTATATACTCAGAGATAGAAGCAACAACATATATTGTATTGCTCCAGATAATCCACACCCCAACATAGACATATGTGCAAGAACATGTTACTTTCTCTACTGAAAAACTTCCTCAAACCTCACCATTAACTTCACACAAAGTCTTTCCTCATCAGACCAGGTAGGAGGTGACTTTTATCCCTACATTTAAGAAAGCCATAAAAGTTTGAGTCTCTCCTGGACTTAAATTTCCCCAGGTGTGTATGGTCATCAGTAACTCAGTCTTACATCTAATTATCTTTCAATTTGAAGTAGCTTAAAACAGAATAAAGAGGGAGAGAGTGATAAGGATTCATGGAGGGAAAGAATGCCTCCAAGGCAGTGAGCAAGAAAGATGTATTTTCATTTTCAAGCAACACATGATTGCTTGATGTTCATCCAAACTTTCAGTATTTCTGTTCCCTCTACATCCCATGTTGGCTGTAAGGTGAATATTAATGACACCATTATAGGGAAAATGGAGTTACTCAGGCTCCCTCACCAGACATCTTGTGTCCAGTGACTCAACTATGATATCATGCATGCACAGTACCTATGTAGTGTTATATAAGCATGATTTGCACTACAAGAGTGCACTGGTTAGCTCCTAGGTAACAGCTGGCTAGATACTGGCTTGGTTTGCCTTGATATATAAGGTGGACAGCAATTTCTGCTGCCACTGCCATTATCTCCTGTGTACTCCCCCATAGTAAAGGCATGTCAGAGATACCTACAGTTCTGAGAGTGTTCTTTAGTCTGCCTGAATCTCAAATGAACCTGCCAGGCCTTGAGCACTTGCAATACATGTGATGTAGTGGACAGGATTCACCATGGACTGGTAGGTAACCCTCTAAATCCCCAGGGGGTACTTGAGTAGTGGCCCCTGACAGGTATGTGGTACTCGATAGCAAACCTCCTTTCTGCTTGGGCACCGTCCTGGGAATGGCCAGGTGGATGGGTCCCCTGTCCAGGTGGAAAAGGACCTATAGGAGATGGAGGAGTCCCTGGATAAGCAGAATGCCCACATGGCAACCGAAGCTATGGGATGGGTGTTCTTCACAGCCCTATGGGCTGAAACCAATACCTCGCTGCAAGAAGCAGTGAAGGTTAGGGAGTTAGACGTAAAGAGGTGGCCTTGACTGAAACCTCACTGCGAGAAGCAGCAAAGATTTAGGAGTTGCAGGCAAGGGAGGAGGCTTTGGAAGCTCACACCCAAGCCCTGGGGAAAGACTTATGGGCCCTGGGGAGCCTGCTGCACCCCCTCTGGTGATAGTACACTCCTCTGAAGGAGAAGAGGAGGCATGACTGCAGGTCTGGCCAGTTGTGCCAGAGAAGCAGCAGCAGCAGCTGATGGCCTTAGGAGGGTAGGCTGCTGGCCTCCTGCAGATGACTGAGTTCACAAAGTACCAGTACCACCCATATACTCAGGCAGAATTTGTGGAACTTGGTGAGTGGTTCCACCAGAAGCCTGGGGAGCCACTGGCAACCTGGCTATTACACCTGTGGGATTTAAAGATAGATGGGATTGTCTGTACTCCCCAGGAAATGGAGAAAGTAGCCTCAGTGACCCTTCATCCATCTATGCAACAAAGGCTACAGAATA